TTTCAGGCATCTTGGATATCGGTTCCTTCCAGGTGATATCCCAGTTACCAACTGGCCCTGATTGGTTAATGAGGAATGCAATCGTGTTCCTTGCCCTGGTTATTTGTCACTTTTTAAATGATGTTAGGAGATTCCCAGGTGATTTCACATCTGAAGACTGTAATTTGTGGCCTCCTTATCAGATGCCATGCAAAATGTTTTCTGTGGGGCACATTAGTTTCCCAAGTATCCTATCTTGATTCCCAAGATAGATTACACTGGAATTATCTTTTCAAAAAAAGGAAGGAAGCCCTACATTTCAAACAGTCTAAAGTAGGTTATAAAGACTGAAAAATAATTATTTTGGGGGACAATCTTACATGAGAAAAAGAATATATTGTAAAAACTGGCTAAGTCAATTCTAATCTATAATGTCTTTTAGAGATTTTAACTGTTGATGATTGTGGTGAATCAGAACAATAGATCTGTTTTTACTCATTTCAAAACATTCTATAATACTCTTTAAAAATCATATCATGGGATAACTGGAATCTAGGTAAGATTATCATTAAATATACCTTCATTCTCCATTTTTTTTTTTTTTTTACTATATTTACCTTTGCCTTTTTAGTCTCAAGTAACTAGTTTACATGTATATTTACCTTTGCAGCACAGCAATTTCTTTCCATTCTTTCACCATTCTAGGGGATACATTTTGTTAGAATAGAAATGGAACTAAACCAAGAATGGTGTGAGGAGGCAGATCTCACTAGCTGTGTAGTCTGGGGGTAGTCCCTTGGCATTTATCCTAGATATAATCCATATTATTGTTGTTGATGTTTTTCTGTGAATTTGCAATAAATATCACACTGAATATTTTTATTAAAAGGACATTACCTTTTCTTTCTATAAATATTAAAGTTCTATGTCTCCAATTTCTTGCCTATAGTTTTTATTTTTACAGGGGAGAGTTACTTTCTTCAATGTTTTTAGTGTCTACTTTTAAGAAACCAAAGTCACCAAAGTAGGGAAGAAGTTATGAAGTAAATTATAGAAAATTTTAAAGCATAAACAAGACCTACTGTAGAGACAAGGAAGATGAAGGAAGGATATTTCTACTAGGGCACCGCATGTGCAGTCTCCAAAGTAAGGGACTGTATTTTTCAGAACTGCAACTGACTGAATGAGAGAATGAAAATAATCCATATATTAGTTTGGAATTATATTTGGTGAGGAGACTTTTGATTTCTGGTAAGCTATTAGGCCCCCGTTTTTAAAGAAATAAATCATTCCCTATACATAGAATTAGGAAAAAAATGTGAGAAATCATTTTCCAATTCAGAAACATGATCCAGAACCAACATTCCTACTATGGATTAATACTATCTATACATAATCCTGAAATACACCTAACTAAAGAACTACTGACTAGCATGCCTGCCACTGTCCTCTGCTATCTGCTCTGTTCCAGTGCTCTCTTGGGTAATCCAAGTCTGTTTCAAAGGCTTTCACACTGTGGTACCAGAGATAAGAATTGTCTCAGGCTTGTGCAGACAATAACTACTGACCACAGTAAGGTGGATTTCCCACCCAAAAAGTGGTATCAACTGAAAAGGGAACTCTCTTTGATCTTATCCAGCGTCTTTATGCCATTTTAAATTACTCCACTTTGGCATCCGATTTCCCAATTCCACAGTCATCTTGGTTGTTTATTCATTTGAATATCTGAAGTTACCTTATTTGAAATTATTTCCTACCTAGAAAAATTAAAAAGAGATTTAAAGCACTCATCCTGTGGTGTACAAAGGATAGATATAGAGACTTCCTCATGTACAAAGATGAACTGGTAACAACATCATCTCTAGCATGCTTCTCTGTGAATCAAGTAATGTCTTCTAGTGAGACCTCAGACTTGTGGTTTTACTCCAAGCTAGGCTCTGGTGCACAGATGCCCTTGGCTAAACTAATAAACTGTTGATCAAGCAGATGTGACTTTGTTACAAAGATTAGAAGGACTATGGAAAAAGTAAACCAAACACTGCAAGCATTACACCACTACCTAGCACAGAAATAACAGCTAAAAGGATACAAAATAACATAGAAAAACAGTTTTCCCAAAGGCTGTGTATTTACTGCCCCCTCCATCATTGCAAAATATCAGACTCCTACTCATCTGGTAATTCTTACCAGTCCTTTAGAAAGATAGGGACAGAATTATTGCCACTTGTAGTGGTGATTAGACAACCATAGACAAACAGGAGGTTAATGTTTGTTATCTCAACTACAGATATGTGCACCCGGTCATAAATCAGCGTATGTTTTATTGTGAACCACTGAAAATATGTTGAATCAAGTATATGTTGCTTATATCCAAGCATTTGAACTATGGGGAGAAGTTTAAGGAATATGTAGGGCAGTCTCTACATTTGAGAGAATCTGATAAGATAAAAACCAGATGAAATACATGTGATCAAATTCATATGATTGGATATAAGATCTATCATAGGGAAAAGGTTGCACTGGTCAATTGGAAACCAAGTATGCAATGATGTCTCTGAAAATGGCCCAAAGACTCCATTTGCCTTTACTAGGATGAGAAAGGCTTAATGAATAGAGTAGATTTTGGGCTAAGTATTGAAGAAACTTTAGAAATGAATGCAGATGAGTTTGTGGGTAAAGTCGTATAGCCTGATCATGAAGACACAGGGAAAAATAGAGTAATAGTTAGGTACAACAATGAGAATGCAGATAGATGACTCAATTTAGGCAGCTGAGGGATTTTCAGAAAAGAATTATGTGATCCCAGCAATGAAAACTAGTTAGTAGTACTCATGTGAGCTTACCAATAGAGAAGAGGATCTTAAATATAAATAGTAAACCAAGAAATGTAGCTAAGACCAAAGATACTCAGAACTCACATGAGGAATGTAACTCAAAATATGGAATAACAACATGTCATTCTTACAGTAAATGCTGGCATTATTAGGGAATGGAATTTGCTGGGGCCAGACTACACTGAATTTTCTTGGAACAGGAAAGGCTGCTTTTATGTAAGTCAAAGGCAGGCTTTATCTACAAGAAACTGAGTGATATGTTCTTCCCCCATTTTTCTCCTCCCCTTTACACTATAGAAAATGGATTTTTAAATGATTTTAAATGAGTAAAGTGTAACCTATGAAATTACATGTTATAGAATATAGTCCTATCTTTTTTCTGACTCAAAAGGAAATTCCATTTTTTATAATGCCTTAAGTTATTATTACAAATGTTGGCAGGGATGAATATTTAACAATTATTGGACAGATTCTATATTGGGTATGCTGCTAAGGGCTTTATATATGTTTTCCTACATACTAAAAAAGTATTCTCTATTGGTATTCCAGAAAATCTCTCTGTTTTAAATAATAAACTTTACTGCAGATTGCATATAATATTTTTCATCAGCTTAATTGTTTGAAGAAATAAATGATTAGGGCAAAAATACAGTGTGGAATGGTAGCCACATGAGATGAGGGGTGTTGAGAAAAATTAAGAACTTTAGGATTTTTTTTTACAAGTTTAACATTAAGATATATACATAGATCTGTAGATAGAGGTTTACTAAAAAGGAAAAAGATACAGCAAAGAAACAACCTTATATTGTTAAAACCAGAAAGTTCTGTAGACATGTATGCATGGCTGAATTTCAGGGGAAATATTAGGATAAAAAAGCGAATATTTTGAATCATTTGTTGCATTTCTGAGGCATTATTGCAATGATTTTAATTTACTCCAGTTTCCATGTGGATGAGAGGCAAATTTTGCAGACAATTAGGAATCTAGAGCAATATTAGCATAGGTGCAAGATAACCTTAGGCAAAGCTCATCTTTCTGTACATCACTGGCAAAGCCAGGCCTTTATCTTAAGATAGTCCTTTGGAAGACTTACTGGTTGTAAAGTCATTTTATTTTGACTCCACAAACACTCAGTATTTATAGTGTGTAGGTTTTTACATATATTCTCAAGAGACTATAAAGTTGAAAGCCCTGAAAATGCAGTTTCTCTAAGATGCTTCATATTAAATTTAAAGACAGCTGTTTCAGAAGATAAATGCCATATGCGTTACTTACTCTATGTTCATTAACGCTTTTGGTGGAGTCTCTCTATGTAGCACCATAGAATTAGATAAGGCAGGAATTCCAAGTCAGGCTAAGTGAGTATGAAATGTTTGCTGTCTTTCAAATTAAATAATAGAAATACATTGTCAGGTATTTCAGGTAAGAAAAAGACAGAATATCTCAATGCCTGCCCAATATAATACTTTAGTCTATCTTAAGTAATAGGGCAAAATGAATTGAGATTTCTAAACTGTTAGGAATAATTATCAAAAAATCAACTTTAGGTCTTTGACATTATAGTATTGTATTACTATTTGTAGAGCAGTAATTTTTTATACATTACTCATTAAATAAAGCAGGATAAATTGTGTAATAGTATATGTATAAGTAGGAAATTCCTCAAAGGGAAAGACACAGAGAGAAAGGTGTTTACCAAAGTATTCTACCTCATGTATTAGAATCAATGGAAATAAAATACAAAAAAATTTTGTCGTTATTTCTTGTAACATCAAATGATACTTAGCCTTGAAGATGACAGGGTGTATTTATAACAATATATTGGCTGGGTGAGGTGACTCACACCTATAATCCCAGCACTTTGGGAGGCTGAGGTGGGTGGATCACTTGAGGACAGGAGTTCGAGACCAGCCTGGCCAACACAGTGAAACCTCGTCTCTACAAAAAACACAAAAATTAGCCAGGTGTGGTGGCATGCGCCTGTGATCTCAGCTACTTGGGAGGCTGAGGCATGAGAATCACTTGAACCCGGGAGGTGGAGATTGCAATGAGCCGAGATGGCAGAACTGCATTCCAGCCTGGGTAACAGAGTAAGACTATGTCTAAATATATATTTGTATTTGACAGGTATATTTATAACCAACATCATTCAGTCAAAAATAAAATCCCAACTCAAGATACTCAGACTACAAATGGCATCCCAAATGGGAGTGACTAGAGAAAACTTCTCCAGAAAAGTTTGATTGAGCATTATTGATGCTTGGCAATTGGATCAAAAGTCCTTGAAATTTCTCTTTACTAAAATTTATGCCATTACCTTTTCAGTAATATTTCCCATGGTCACTTCAAGTTTAATTGAGCATCAGTGTTCAACACTGCATACAATTTGCAACTTGGAAATGTACAGAGGCGGAAGTTTACAAAATGTCAAAAAAATAGAATAACATTTGGCATTTGGATGAAATGGTTTCCCTCTGTATATTCTCAAACCCATTAACCCCTTATTTTAACAACATTTTTATATTATAGACTAATTTGGTCTTTAGAATTATTCATATTTTACTGTAGGAAATGAGCTTGTTACCTGCCCAAGGAAAGCAGATATTGAATTTACATTCAGATTAAAATTCTATCACCTTGATGTTCTTTCCAAGAAAATGTGTTGCCTGTCAGAAGTAGCAGCAGGATGGACTTCAACCGAAAGTTGGAAATAACCCTGAAAAGAAGAAAGAATAAAAATAAAATTTTAAAAGCTCATTTGGCATATGAAGATAATACAGCATTATAATCCTTTGGAGTTGGTTTGGTCAACAATTGTAATATAACCCCTTGCTTATGGTATTGAAAAATAATATTTTGTCTTATGGTATTTTTTAACACACACTACTTGCTTTCAAAATCATTCTACACCACATAGCTCAAAAAGAAGCTTTTAAATATCGAAATTGCCATGGATGATGATAAAAATTCCTCCTGCCCCATCCTCCTTCTTTCCCCAAAATCCCAATTTTTATCACTTCCAATCCGGAAGTACAACATTTGACAAATGAGATGATCATATTTTTATAATCTCCTATGCCCACTTCAGAAATATTGTTCATAAATGACATAACTTCTATGTGCCATGTAGTGTGAATTTGAAACTTCCTATCTTAAAATGTTATGGTCTTTATGCCAGGTAGGACAGATACTGCATTGTTAAATAGCTATAGGAATTTTTTGCTAAAAGCCATTTTTGTTTTTATTCATCTGAAGGAAGAAAATGACCCGTATGCTAAAATTTAAAGAAAATGGCCTGTTAAAATGTAAAATGATGAGGCAGTGGTGGATCTTAGCAATTTTTAAGACATCTATTACACTTTTGGTATGGGTACATAAGCTTCTCTAGTGAGAGACTAAATTTCAATTGGCAATGCTTGTTAATTCCATTTCAAAATTTCAATTCATTGTTTGAAATTTTAGTAATTACTGCTATTGTTTGCAGGGGGGAAAACTTCCTTTACTTGTTATTGGTTTACTCTTTCCAAAATTTTAAAGTAATCCAGGCAAATTAAATCTAAGAGCACAAAAAGTGAACTTTATAGTTCAAGTTCTAAACCTTTTTTCAAAATTACTTCAATAGCAAGACTGTAAGTACTTTAAGGCTCACAGATGGTGATATCTTATATTTCTTTTTTTATCATATTATTATTATACTTTAAGTTCTGGGGTACATGTGCAGAATGTGCAGGTTTGTTACATAGGTATACGTGTGCCATGGCGGTTTGCTACATCCATGCCCCCGTCATCTACATTAGGCATTTCTCCTAATGCTAACCCTCTTATATTTCTATGAACCTTCCAATGTTACCTATTAGTGTTCTGGCCAAATAATAGATGTTTAACAAAAAATGCTTGTATCATTGTCCTCTCCTTTAAACAAAAATAAAAAATTGTTTATTTTTGCCAAAGCACACTGTTGAGAAGTTATTTCAATGTTTTTCACTGAAAATATTTAATAATTAAACAATGAGTTAACAGGGAAGGAGGATACAAGAACTGGCTCATAGGAACAAGTGATGAATACTGAAATAATGAACAGGTGCAGCAGTAGCAGCAACAGTCAGTTTTATGCTTGCAAGGAAATGATGAGTGGGAAATTTGTGACACCTGACTTAAAATCAATGCCCCTGGAAGGTGATATAATAGCTCTAAGCTGGAAAAAAATATGTACAGGGGGAAATCAAAGCTGACACAGTGAAACTGCACAGAAAGAAATGGGTAAAATAATGACAATGTCAAGCAACTAATGGAGCTAATGAGGTATAACTTGATGGTGCTAAAGATCTCATGTCTTCCAAGGCAACTAGTTAATTTAGCTGATTAATTTGCTTACTCACTTTTTCTTCTTAATCTCTTAGGGAGACTCTGGTGGTCTCCTTGTAGTATATTTTATATCATGTATCAAAGAATATTCATACTGATACTTATTATTAGAAAGATACACTAAAAAGAGGAAGTAAATGATAAAAATAAGAGCTTTAATTTGTTTAATAAAGTGATGACCTTCTAACTCCAAAACAAAGCCCAGAGTTGTTTCTCTCAATGAGAAAATATGAAAGAAAGAAAAATGAAATAAAATGTGCGCTACCATTATTCTGGCTCCAAGAGAAAAAAAAATTAGAATACCTATAATCTGCACTTTAAGACAAGAAACCTTACCATTTGAGATCTTAAGTCTGCATGCTTGCAACACTGTATTTTCTTTGTTAAATTATTTCTGAATTCTGTTTTGGTTCTAAGGAGACTTGTTAATGGCTTTCTTCACATTCTATTTTAAAAATAGTAGGAGATGGGTGTAAAAGTGGCTAAATGAGAACATTTAAAGAAAGGGCTTTTAAAGATGGGGACTGGCCAAGAAAACTCTGTAAAGTTACAGCAGAGTTGTTTTCAAGGTAATAGCATCCTTCTCTGAAAGCTGATTTAACTTGGCTAGTTGGTAGGCATATCTTTGGGTAAGTTAAAGGGTCTCAAGAAATAAAGTATGTTTTATCCTGGTTAAGCTGATAATTTGTCCTACTTAAGTAAGTAATGTAAATTTCCTTCCAAAGCTCTGTGCTCATTAGCTCATAATTAGGGCAATAAATCTGGAATCACAAAACAGATAAGTGAAAACATCATAGTACCGTAAATGTGAGAGTGATGTTATCTTATCCTGTAGGAATCAGTAGAGAGTTTGCAGAAATTTGTTCAGATTCTGAATGTGACTCTACATGTGATTATCATAAATTTAACTACTAGGAAGAAGAGGAGGAAAGGAAGTCTGAGGGGCAAACACATACTTTAACAGTCCAGGTGACAACAAAAATTTTAAAGACATCTCTTATGAAGACCGCTTATAATCCTGAAATATATTATGTTTATGAATTATCTTTCAGTAGGTCTTTCACACTAATTTTCATACATGAACATTTTTGCAAGTAAGCACTTACTATGCTGCTGCTGGGGGGGAATGTGTGGGAGGGGGTGTGGGAACCAGTGGCCTGCTGGTACTGAGCAACTAGCCAGAATTCACAGAGTCAAAATATCATGTCAAGTAGAAAGCCCAGAAGAGAACTCTGCAAAGCACAAAAGCCTGCATTCCACCCTTAGTATATAGAATTCTGGTGTGGACAGACAACTTGAACTACTCTAGAGATGTCAGCGAAAACTGTGAACTCATAAGAAACCAAACAATTCTGCTTTCTTTTTTTCTTTAACACAAAAATGTTAATTTGACACTGCTTACTTGTATCACAGTACCTCTTTCATTCCACTTGCAAATTGTTTACAAATATGCCCCTTTCTCCCACAAGGTTCATATTCACTGATATTGGTCTAAATCATGCCTGTACATGCTGTGTATTTTCTGTCTATTTCTGAGCTCCACCCAACTTGTTCATTTTCCTCATCGCTCAAGATTTAGAAAAAGTTGATTCATGTCAGTACGACACTATGCAGATTGACTAAAACTAACTTTGAGATTAGAGGAGACATGTTTTTCTATAGAAGAACTGGAGTTGCCCTTAGACTTTATGTGTTCATCCTATTATATGTGACACTTAAGCTAACAGAACTCAATTTCTTTATAGTTTTCATCTCTAGTGAGGATATGTTTCTTCTTGCTTAAAAAGTGATATGTTGAGATCCTAAATCTTCCTAGTTTTAGCAGTGGAGACAAGATGGGCTCTTCAGTGATCTATGTTCTCCAGTCAAGTTGTTACTACTGAAGAGGAAACTTTTCTTCAATTATTTGTTTGGGTCTCATTTAAGCCTAAAATACAAACTTCAGCTAAGATGAACTGTCAGAAATTTAGAAAATGAAAAGTATTCAACAGCAAAAAGTTAAATAAAGTGAATGTGGCATCTATTTATATGTATTTAATCCCTAGAAGACAAGCTTCTAGAGAAAAGACCACAGTGGAATCTTAGCCTATGCTAGTAATTGAAGAGGAAGATACTCACCGTGTAATATTAGCTAAAAACACCAAATGTCCATAGTGGGCACAGGTGGATTTTTATTTTGGATCTAACTCTTTTAAGGTCGTTAGTAGTTTGGCAACAATTCAGATTATTTAGAAAGATGGAGACAGGTATGAAAACGAAAACAACCCAGCTATTGATAATATTAATAAAATAGCTTGGAACTTGCATTTTCTTCTGGCTGTTTCCTTTAAACAATCTATTTAAATATTTCTTTGCTCTCTTACCTTTCTTTAATTCCTCAAAGATATACATAGCAACTATCCTATCCCTTTCCTACATGGAATATTTAGCACTAATTTAACATTTTGCCAATATATTTACACTTTGCTTCTTGGCCTTTCAGTGAAGCCTAAAATGTTATAACATGTAGTAAATACGTTCATCCACTATCTAGAAGTCTCCCAGACAAATTCTCTAATTTAATCACCAGCAGTTTTTCAAACAGCGTCAGATATATCCCACCATTTCCCAAAAAAGTTGCAAGCAGCATTTCACCTGAAAGACACTAGGCACCATCAGTGGTTAAAGGTCTTAAGTCCAGATTGACATTTAACTAAATTGAAATAGGAGGCAAAAAGCAATATGATTTCCAGAGGTAATACAATGTAAGAGAATAATTGCCTTTAAGTGGGCTTAAATACCGAAGGCAAACCATAAATAAAAGTATAAAGGTGATAGAAATGGTCTAGAATTTTTGTAGATTCCTAGGGGAAAAGAAATTCTCTAAAAGGAAAACAGAAAGAAAAAAGAAACCTGAAAGGCAAATGTAGAAAATATCAAGATATTCTGAATCTTCTTGAGGACTTTATCAGCATTCCATTTTACCACACTTTTAGAAGCAACAGCCCTACCTCTTTGTCCACTCTTCTCAAACCTAGTAGCACATCCCTGAATTCTGAAGTCGCAGCCTGTCCGCATTCTAGTCTCATCACTACGTGTGGTCAGGGCTATTGCTTAAACAAAATGAGGGGCTAAATCCTGAAAATAGACCCTTCCCCTCATCAAATACCTACCCTATCTCAAACTGTCTTTCTTCTAGATTCTTATGACACGCAATACATCATAGGAAAACAGAGAGAACACACTGGGTTTTTATTCTAACTTTGGATGCATCATATTTATTGTGGGGAACCTGTGCAATGAGGTATAGAATAATATGTTGGCTTCCTACAGATTCTATTAGTAGTTTCCTTGGCTGCCTCTTCATTGCCG